CCACTGCCCTACCAAAACCATGTTTTTAAGCAAACATTTGACAGGGATTCCCTTTACTGTCTGGCAATTACAAAATGTAAAGCTAGCTATTAGAGGAGCAGGGCCCCCAAGAGTCATCTCCGCCCTCTACACCCCTTAATCACTTGTTTGGTTACTCTGATAACGAGGTGGAATGCTGAACAAGATTTTTTAAATTCCAAGAGTTCCCTGCTCTAAATGGACCAGTGCCTTGCATAGATGATGAGATTCGCGTGTGACTTTCCTATTTTTCCTTAGAGAAAAAGCTGAAGTGAGTTATTATGATCATTAAAAGGTTGGTATCATCTAGTTGGTGGAATTCTTCCTTCTTTGAAACCAGAGACATCACTGACTTGACCGACTCTGAAACCCGGATACAGAGAACACGGGGGGTACGTGAGTTCTGTTCTTCTGTTGGTTTTGCTCAGACGCAGCCTGGGGCATATTTCATTTGCTCTCTGATGCTGCTATTTCCAATCATACACACTATTTTTTTCTCTGAACTTCAAAAGAAGCAAATGATGCTTGAATATCTGAAGGAAAGATTCAGCTATTTTATTAGAGTATTTGTAGGGTTTGTTTTTCAACTGCTCATTCATTTCATTGTGTACCTACTGGATATATGCAAGGCACTGTACTATGCAGATTGGCATATAAACAGACAAGGAAAACGCTCTCTGCTTTATGAGTTTATGATATAGAAGGGGTGATGAGATGAACACCCCAAAATTATAAGAAATAGAGCACAAGCTTACTTTGGGCACCAGAGATATATGACCAATGTGTGATGAAGTCTCAGATAACTTGTTTACCTATTCCAGTTTGAGGGGCACTTATGGGTAAATTCATATATTAATTTAAATTTTAAGCACTGTCCGAAAGGAGGGAACTATCGGCAACAAAAACCTCAATAGTAATGCAAAGTAGAAAGCTCTCAAAAGTGATCAGGCAAAGGTGAGTAGGGCAACAGAAGTCACTGTCCATCCTACCCACATACTCATATCACCTGGGAAGCTTTTTTAAAACATAGTGATGCCTGGGTCCATCCTCCTCACCAAAAATCTGATACAATTTTCTGAAGTGGGGCCTATCCACTGGCTTTTCTAATTCTTAAGTTCCCTGGATACCTCACGGGTGAGGACAGGCCTAAGAACCGTGCTCCAGCAGGGGTGTGGAGGAGCTGACACCATGGCATGGCAAACTTTGAATTCTGGGCTAAGAAATATGAGTCCTGCTTAGGAGGAAATGAGATGCCATTGAAGACTCCTGCACAGGAAAGTGAGGTGAGTCACTCTGTGCTTGTGGAATATTAAACTAGCAGTCATGGGGGCGGGGTATAGAAGGAAGAGGCCAGAAGCTGGGAGAATGTGAGTGGCTACTGTGACAGCACAGGAGACAGGAAACATAACTGGAAGGATCGTGGAGCCATGGCCGAGAGGAGGCACACGTTGCAGAGTATGTGCCTAATGTGTGTTGTGGCTGAAAGAGAACCTGACCATGAACTTCAGAGCCTAAATGAATGTTGTAACAGAAACATGGTGGCCGGGAACCACAGATAAGGTTGTGGTGGAAGACCGTAGTTCCATTTTATACATGCTGAGGTGGTGGGACACACACAAATCAGGACATCTAACAGGTACCTTGAAAATCTGGACTTTCCCCCAAAGTCTGCCTGTCGGGGACAATTAGGGTTTGGCACTGTTTAAAGGTTATAGCCCCTGAGGAGATTACTGAACCTTCACAGTAGAAACATTTCTTGATGGAGTATCAAGAGAAGGTGCAAAAATATGAGTAGGGGTGAATGCCTTGGAGAAGGCACATATTTGGAGGAAGGGCATGAGAAAGGAGGGGACAGAAAGGTTTGCGAAGCAGGAGAGGACAGTATTAAGGAAGTTAAGAGAGAGAAGGGTTTATAAGAATATTCTAGATCCCATAGTATCCCCGTCTGTGCTAGGATAGGTATTTATTTCACTCTGGTTCATACATCTCGCCAAGTAGAGTAAGATCAAAGGAACTGAGAAATTAGGCCAGTGAATTCACATTACAGCCTTATTTAAAGTAGTGTTCAATTTTATGTACTATATTTTGCCATATATAATACATACTCTTTTGCCCAAATTTGTGAGGAAACAATAAGGATGAGCATGATACATGGGTAGTACAAATTCCATGTCTATATAAGCATTTATAATTCTTTTATTTATGCTTATAAGTAAAAAGTGTAACTCTAGGAATCAATAACGATATTCATATGCAGAATACTATGCCGGAATAAGATAATTGGTTTTGTTGAACTTATGACAAACTTGCAACGAAAGTAATTTCAGCCAACGATTCAATGAAGTGAAACAAAGAGTGAAGTATTATTGTCCACAGAGTAGGTGACTGTGACTTGATAAGATAGGCATACACCTAAAACTAATAATAATAATTAAAAACAAAAAATGATAGGCGATACTAACTTAATTACCACAGCGTGAACAGCGCGACATTTCTCTTCATACACTTTAGGTGGGAGCTAGCAATCTAGCTGATATTTTTCAAAATTATTGGAAAATCCCTTGGAAAATTAAAACAAAAGATTTATTACTGAAAGTTTGGGCCTAAAACATGGGTGTGCCTTATACACGGGAGCGTATTATCCATGTCAGAATATGGTAATTTGAGAAACACTAATATTCTCCTCATGTTCAAATCTGCTCTTGTACCCAAAATAATGCAATCATAAATATAGTGACTGGATTTTGTAACAAAAAGGAGTTTCTTGGTAAATTTTGAAAGGACACTTTGGGGAGGTGGGGGTGTATGTATGGGGGGGTGGTGAAAGATTATTGAGGGTTAATTGGAGAAACACTGCTAAGGAAAACATATCTACTTTTCCTTATGTCTTTTTCCCCAAACTGTAGTTTGGACATCCACAAAGAGATACTGTTAGGAGGGAGCAACTTTAGTTAGAAATAAAATGAAAAATCAGATGCTATCCAGAGGGAAATACTATGGAACTGGAGAAAGTCAAGTCTAAAAAGGAAATGATTAGGGAAGTTTCAACAATATTTGCAACATGGAGAGTGGAAAGTAAATGGGGTATAAAAATTAAGAAACAGTCTTGAAAATATGGTTAGAAGCTCCCAAACTCCCTCCAAATTGGAGAAAATGTCTGAAATATGCCAGGCAGCTAAATCTGATAATACAGCAGCATAGTAAACACACTGTATCTGGAATCCCTAAACTCCCTTTTAGTTAATCCACACACTGTCACTTGAAAGGTCCCATATGAAGCGGTTTGTTTTCCTTCTCTGGAGTCCTTCTTCATCTAGATATAATATGAGTAGGATTTGTTTCTACAAATTAAATCTGTCATTCAAAGCACAGTTTAGTCTTTGGAAAATTAAACAAAAATGTCTAATTTCTTTTTTTTAAAAGTCTTTTCCATTCTAAAGAAATAGGAAAAGAACAATGACCTGAAATAAATGACTTGTAAAAATTTCAAGGTTGCATCATTAAAAAAAACAAAAAAACAAAAGTAACAGAAAGTGCATTTAAAGAAACAGCACAGAGACAGCATCTTCAAAGCTATACGAAACATTTCCCAGCTTTGGAAAATTCGCATACCCAATCTGGTTTCCATGAAACTTAAAAAGATCAAACAATTAGAAAGAAGCTGGGCTTGAAGGAGAAATGCTCAGGATTTCAGTAAACATCTGGTTACCATTTTCAATGTAAGAACTAACCCACTTAAGGAAGCAGTTTAGTTTCTTGGGAGTAAAAATGAGACACTAGCTTTTTGTTCTCTTTGCACAGTGGAGGGTAGAAGAAACATCAGGACGGGGAGGTCACTCGGAGCTCCACTTTTATAAATAAGAAAGCTTTTTTCAAAAGCTAAAGTAAATTGAACTCAGGTCCCTCTAGTATAAACAGCTCAACTGAGTTAAGGTTAAATAAACATTCCTTGAGCTCTAGTGTGCCAATTAAAGGGCACATTCTGTTTGGTCGTAAATATATCAGTAATTCTATGAGCACTGAGGACAATAATAACCCCGAATACACAATTACTGTGTGTCATAATACAATAAAACAGAATGGTGCAGGCTTGTAGGTTTCTTTGATTCCATTCCTTTTTTTTTTTTTCCCCAGTTTGATTAACTAAAGGCACAGAAGCACTTCTGATACCGTCCAAAACCTATTACTCGTGTAATAAAAAACGTATGTCAAATGTGTTCTAGGAAAAATACTGACAAGGCAAAACATACTGTGCCTTTTAAATGTGACCTTTACTCTTCTGTCTTCCTGCTAAATAGTCATACAGCATATTAAACTCAGGAAAGCAGCAGGGGTGCTGGCCTGCGGCTGGAGGGGAAAGGCAATGAGACTAGGAGGCCTTCATTAGGCTCTCATTTTAAATCATCAGGAGAAGCGTCTCTAAAGACACGAGCCAAAAGGGACCACCACCAGCTCTGCCTCCAGACCCCCATTTCTCCACTGCTTTGCTCCCCTTTCTTCTCTTCTGCCCACAGGACACAAGTCTAAAAGCAAAGACTAAAGAAGAGGGATCCCTAGAATGATGGAGGTTTAAAATCTTGTCTTGCTCTCTCTCATTCTGTGTGTATAAATGTTACAGTGAATCACAGAACTGCAAATTTGAAAAAGACTTTGGCAGTGAGTTTATTCATTCTCCTGAGTAATAAAGCAACTCACTCGGCAGCATCTCCAATATGCTTCCATTCCAACAAAACTTCCTACTTTTTGAGACGGGCTGTTCGATCATTGCTGGATAACTCTGACTGATACATAGAATGTTTATCCTTAAACTGGTCCTAGTTACGCCTTCTAGAATTACTACAAATAAATCTTGTACTCAAGAATCCCGTTAAACAGTGGGAAAACAAAAATATTGGTCCAACTACTTGCAGGGCCTCCCAGAAACGTTCTTTTCAATTGGAACAATCTATTTTCTCCTTCCTGCTGCCATCCTGGTTTTTGCGGCAAGCGTAGAAATATGCCCTCTTTGAGGACACATAAATAATTCTGGCCCAATGATAACATGTGCTCTGTGTCAGAGTCTCCTGAACTACATATTACTTAGACTCTACCCTGGGAGCAAGTTCAAAACTTTTGGAGAACATTTATTCTCTCTTATGCCACTATTCCATTCTATGAACTAAAACAATGACTTGCTAAATAAGACCTGGATGATATGAAAGACAATAATTTGATGACGCCTCTACCTTTTTCTTTGGAGTAGTATATGTTATAAAAATCCTGGGTCATATGATATGTTTTTCCAAAGCGAGGGACTGGAAGAGCATAAAATGAGTATTCTCTGCTAAGAACAGAAGTCGGGAACATACCACAGAGGACACAAAGGGACCTAAATGACATGATGGGGCAGGGTGGCCCTTAATGCTTTCTATGTTCAAGAGCAGCAAAAACTAAATGCTTACTTTGACATGTCATTTACTGGAGAGCATTTTTAGGTAACACTGAGTGCTCCATTGTTTTATAGAATATTAACCCTTCGATTACTCAAGTATCACCTCTAAACAGATAACCCCCAATACTTCGTCACCCACCCTAGCCTCTCTACTCACTCCAGGTTCTGCTAAACACATTCAGATGAAAAGCTCGCAACACCTGAGACTGAATTCGTATAGAACTAAACTCATCCACCCCCGAACCAACAGGCTGAGTGACACCCGTAAATGTGACAGGAGAATCTTCAAAGCAAATGAAGAACTCTGAAAAATGGACACAAGCCCTTAAAAGCCTCAACAGTCTACAAGCATTGCTGTATAAATTATCAACCCTCTATACTACTGTACTTCTGGCTGCATTTTATTCATTGTAAGAGCACATTGGAGCATGAGTAGAACGTCACTGTTGCTCTAAGGTTATATAAAAAGTAAAGGTTTATCAATTAAGTGTTCATGGGAATTTTCTGAGGTAGTTTGCTATTTAAGGGGCCCAAATCTTGGCGCACCATTTTACTTTCACTCATTCATGTGACATCCATTCATTTGCAATACAAATATGTATTGAGTACCCCTACATGGAGGGCATGGCTTTAAGCAATAAACAGGACATGACCCCTGACCTCAAGGAACGTACAGATTTTTCAAAAATGAGGGTTTTGTTTGTTTGTTTGTTTTTTCCCAACTGGAATGATCCAGGAAACTCTGTGTTGGGGTTCCAGGAGTGTTTCCAACCCAGAACCTTCAAGGAGAACATGTAAGTTGAGACAGAGTGGCCTGAAAACACCTAAAAAATTTATTTATCCCCAAATATCCAGCAATGGCATCCTCTTGTTACTTCATATAGAACTCATTTTTTTTTTTCAATTGGGGAACAGTGTGTTTTTCCGGGACTCATCAGCTCCAAGTCAAGTAGTTGTTTCAATCTAGTTGTGGAAGGTGCAGCTCAGTGGCCCATGCAGGGATTGAACCGGCAACCTTGGTGTTATGAGCAGCACTGCGCTCTAACCAACTGAGCTAACCGGCTGCCCCCTAGAACTCGTTTTAAAAATACCTCCACACAAAGCAATTTTTACAACCTCCTTTCTGTAACTAGTTCTTATCAATAGTAACAATACTCTCTCCAATTTTTGGAGTGCCTACAGGGTGCCACTCACAGAACAAGCTTCAAGGAACTTAACAACCAATTTGCAGAGAGAAAAGCAAGGCTTTGAGAGGGTAAGTAACTTGCCCAAGGTTATGTAACCACAGAAAGGGAACACTCGGGATTCTGACCCAGGTTCAGTCTTACTCCAGAGTTTATTCTTTTGAATCACCAGTCTACTACTTCCACAAGAAAGTGATTATTGTGGTGAAGCTCTTCTTACTTACGGGTAATTTAAACCTCAACTTCCTTATAGCTTCTTTTTGAATACAAATAAACTACAGAGAAATCTGAAGTAGGTTTTTCGTTACAGAAGTTAGAATTGGTCTGTAGATGTTTCTTTTCCATACAAACTTCAGAAACAGCTATTGGCAAGTAGCCATTATAAATAAACCTTCAAAGTTAGACTAAATTTCAAATGATACATGGATATGGTGGACATTTTTAAAGAGTGCAAGCGAATATAAATGAAAACAAAAAATTTATTAAATTATAAACAGGAAAGGAAACAGGCTTTTTTTTTCTTTTTTAATAGATTCCCCACCACATGAAGGAGTGATCTTATCTGTCATGCTATTAATAGTGCTTCCCGAGAACACAGTTGGGTAAATTACAGTGTCCTTATTAGGGAGGGAAAAAAGACTGTGCAGCAACATTATTTAAAATCCCATTCTCCAGAATACAAGGTATCAAATGTAATGTCCATAAGAATAGCAGTAAGTATTATTTATCATGGTCCTAACTAGCCCTTCACAGACCTACCTTCACTATATGATGCTGTCATGCTGCGCTCTCAGCTCGTGTTAGAAGGTCGTTATGTGAACCATGATATGACATCCATTCATTTGCAATAGAAATGTTGGTCTTTGATCCATTACCTAATGTAGTGTCGTCTACTTAATAATCACTTTGAGAAAGTTGTTTTAAACATACCACCTGGGCATGTGAGAGATTAGGGAAAGGAGCTGGAATGCTCCCTTCTACATGAAAGTAAAATTATATTCTTTCCCTGTTACTCTGGGTACTCCAAATCTCAAAGCCAAAATTAAGCCTAAACTATGACAGCTAAGATATCCATATCCAGTTTGAGCCCTGTTTTTATATTTCCATTTTAGTGATTTTAAAATTATGTGTTTTCTTACAAACCATCAAATCCTTTTGAAGGAGGTTTGGTTAAAAAAATTAAACTATCTCAGTCCCAGAATTTAATCATCAGTTTGGTAAGGGATCAAGTGACCCAGAATTAGTGTAGATACAAAGGTCAGCAGACTTTTTCTGTACGGGGTCCAATAGTAAGCATTTTAGGTATTAAGAGCCATATAGTCTCTGCTGCAGCAGCTCAACCCTGCCATTGGAACAAAAGCATCCAGAGGCAGCAGGAAAACAAATGTGTGGCTGTGTTCCAATCAAACTTTGTTTACAAAAACAGGCGTTGGGCAGATTTGGCCAGTGGGCAGCATCTATTGCCAACCCCTGGCAAGAAAATCGATATGGTCTTTCACTTTTTTGTCTTTCTTCATAGAACATTCCATGTGAAAACCCCAACTTATAAAAACAAGAGTCATTTCAAACCCTAAGAGTGACTCCAAATCTGTAGCTTTGACAGTGAGTTGGCATTTGTTTTTCACACGGACTGTACAATACATTTTCTTTAAAAGTGCAAGATGCATTCAGAAGTGGACAGAAAATTGTTAAGTATGCATTACTCTTCAAGTGTACATAAATAATTGTATCCAATGATAAAATCTACTAAGTCAGCCTCTTGGACCACATACTATTTTACTTGGATGTTACCATGGGAATAAGTTGTGAACTTCTGGAAAACATCTACTCTCATTTAGGCTGCTAAGCTATTCCATGTATTAAAGCACTAATTTACTAAATAATACCTAGATCTAGGAAAGGGAATAACTGATTGGTTCTTCTACCTCTTCTTTAAAGAATTATATGTTCTTACAACTGCAGAGACATAAGATATATTTTTCCAAAGCAAGGGACTAAAGGACCATAAAAGTATATGTTTGACATTTTGCTAACTTTTGTAGGCCTAAATCCAAAGACAATTGTCCTTTTACTGCTCACAAAATCAGCTTAAAGATGAAATGCATGTAAATACCTATACAGTTAAATCTTAAGTAGAGCAATGGCATTATAGAGCTGACTTTTACATCATTTTATTCCAAAAATTAACTCTAAAGATTGTTATTCCTCAAACCAATTCCCTTAGGACAGTGCTCCCCAATGAGACAACACTTTCCACTTTGAACATATAAATTTCTGGGCCCCCATCCCAGACTATCGAGTGAGAAAAATGCTGGCTGGATTTTACTTTGTCTTCTCTCAGAACTCTGATGCGGGTGGACAAAGTCATTAAATTCCACCACATAATATAGTGAAGTAAACACCATTACTACCTTTAACAGACAAGAAAACTAAGGTTCAGAGAATTTAGTTGTTTAAGGTCTTATAGTCACTGCCCTATGGTCCTTTCCAATAGAGCCACCAACTTCCGTTACGTCACTAGCATGGAACTAGCCATATACTAACTTAGAACCTGAGACTTTCTACTTCTCATTTCAATAAATGTTTACTAAAGATGTCATAGGAAAGATATTAGCAGAAGTGATTGGAGTCAAGTCAGGAGAGGAGAGGAATGGATAGGTAGAACAGGAGAAATGCGTTTTCTATTTAATTTCCTATGACCAAGAATGTATTTTATAAATATGTCGTCTGCATGTTGGTACTTTGTAAAAATGGGCCTATATGGTGTCATAGTTTCTGCTGCTACACATATAGTGAAATAAGCATGTAGTGAATATGTGAACCTAAAGCAAAACAAATTTTACAAGAATCTAACCTCTACAAAATATTTTTTGTCACAAGTGCCTCAATTCAAATATAATTCATAGATTAAATGTGTATCTATGGCAGACAAGCTAAAATAAAAAAGTGTTTTTTGTGTTTTGTTTGTTTGTTTTCCTCTATGCTAGATGATCAAGGATGTGTTAGATTATAGTCACAGAACTTTTTTTTTAGGGTGTTCGATGCACACTGCTCTTGGTGAAAACTACAAAATAAAGTGAAAAACAAACAAAACACACTCCTGAATTTGCTATCCTTCCTGAAGGCCTACCCAGGAATAATATCCTATTATACAGAGTAAAAGAATAACAAGAAAGAGTTAGGAAGTGGATGTTTTATAAGCCGAGGGAGTGTGGGGGAGAGGAGCCCAGTCAGCGTTTACGGTGACAAATTCTGGTGACACCATCTAGTCACCTTATACTAGTGGGCCCAGCAGCCCCTTTGGCTGCCAGATTCTATCACTTGCAGGCTGTCACTGCGCTTTCTTGGTATTTGGAAGCTGCCAAGTAATCTTATTTTTTCATATAAAATTGACCCAAAAACATCAAGGGAGAGAGGAGACATATTTTCTCTGTTTCGCAATGGGAGAAAATTGAAGTTGAAGTTAAAATGCACAGATAACCCATGTTGGCCCATACAGTCTGTAGCAACACCAAAGAGGCAGACGAGCACAGGCATCGGACACAGTCGTGGTGAGTTACGAGGGCCGATGCCCTGCGTGTCTCAGGCACTCTGCTCACGGGGCCCGTGGGCGCTATTACACAGTCACCTAGTGCAGTGATGGGCTAAAATACTGTGTGGGATGAGAGGGAGATTAAACGTTTTATATCCTTCCTTAACACCTATTCTGATAAACCATTTTCTGACAATATCATTTACGGGTATTCTAGAACTTTTGATTGGCCCTTTTTAATAGAACCCACCCCAGTGAGGTTTCTAAAGTTTGTTTTCAGCTCTCATTGATATTCCAGAGCTTTCATCTCCCCTTTTAGTTTTTCTCATTTGCTTCCAAAGCCCAGAGCTCTAGATTTCCTTACTGCTCCCAGGAGGTGGGGACCAGCAAATGGCCTTCCTGCAGATCCGTCCTCACAGCCCATATTCTGCACACTTCAAGGCCCTTTCTTTTCATCAAAGTGGATCTTTTGGGCTCTGTTCCTTGGGAGCTTTGCTAGCTAAGTAGCTTACAACTTCACTGCCAATGTGGTAAAAGGTGACTGTGGTAAAGAGTGATCATAGCTAAATGTCCCTCCAACCTCTTTCATTCGCCAGCATAAACCCAGCACTTAAAGAGGCACCTCACTGAAGAAGTGCTATAATGATGGCAAGATATTTGAAATTTAAATGAAAAATGAATAATATTATTGTGAGACCAGGATCTGACTATTCCCTCCCAAAGGAAACCACTGCTTAGATTAGCTGATGCAAAATGCTTTTTCTCCCCTTCCTTTGGATAATAAAATAAATAAATAAATAAATAAATAAATAAATAAATAAATAAATAAATAAATAGATAGATAAATTGTGTCATTCTAAGGAGAAAAATCTGATTGGCTCATGCTGAATGAGTGTTGCACTTCCTTGTAGATCTAATAATGATAAAGTTGTGGCCAAATAGAGTCTGATGCAGCAAGTAGGTGAAGAGGACAAGCACAGAGGTAAAAGCTGGAACACCGGGGTTCCCATCCTGCCCTTGCCTCGCCCCAGGCTTAAGATCCAAGGTGAGTCTTTTCACCTCTTGAACCCTCGGTTTCCTCTTCTGGAATATGGGGAAGGGGATTTAATATTTCTTAATCTTAGGGGACTCAGGGCTTCAGTGAGGATTAAGTGACATCCTGAATACACAGTACAACATAGCATCTGTCACAGGATTTGGTTGCTCAAGAAATGTTAGCTGTTACTGTTACTGCCCTTTCTGACCCTCATCATCTATTCAACTCTCTTTTCGAATAACTTGTTTATAAACGTGTCTCTTATTTTTCACTTTAAATGATAGAAATAAAAGTCCTTGACTAGTAAGTGTGTGTGTGTGAGAAATATCCACACTTCTTTCACAGTTAGAGACAATCCGTGAATCACATTTAAGCTGGCTTCTTAAAACAATTCCCAGCACATCCTACTTACAGTCAGATGAAGTGCAATTTTCTTAAAATACGGAGCTGTTCGGTGCAGGGCAGAACATGTCTTCAGGCTCATAAACATAAACATTTTTTTAATGTAGCCTTTAACCATGAACTATGCAACACCAAAATGCTACAAAAATTTACACAAAATAATTTCAGGAATAAAAACATATAGCTAAAGAAAAATTGAGAGGAAACAGAAAAGAAGCCAAGTTTTCGATGATACATGAAAGCTGGTCATGAGTAAAAATTTGTTTCTGTAAAATTTTTAGAGGAAGACAGTAGCACATTCAAGAAATGACTTAATGTTCTATGTCAAGCGACTTTGGTAATTAGTTCTTATTCTTACCTCTTTCTAGCAGCCTCAGCCCCATGTCAGCACTGAGCCCTTCTTCAATGATGACAACGGCGTAGTGAAGCTGAGTGAGAAGCTGCTGGTGGAGCAGAAGCTCCGTTTTGCTGGAGGAAGAGGGCCTGTAGAGTATGGCTCTTTTGCCATGGCTGCCAAAGTGCGTCTCCACTGATTCTTCAACCTGTAAGAGAAAGAAGACATAAAAACTCAAGAGGAAAAAGTAGCACGTTTCTCCTAAAGGACATCATTAATGCAAATCAAGGGCCATTCAGAAAGTTCTTTAAATTTTTCTCGAGACACGAAAGACAGATTCTATGAGAAGCTGACAAGGACAAAGACCCTTTTTATGCAAGAACTGAATGTGAGCTGAATTTTTCTCTCTATTACAGAAAGACGAAAGTTTTAGGCCATTAAAATATAGAGTTCCTAGAGGAATACAGAGAAATACAGAGCTGAACTCTAGCTGAAAATATATTGGGTTGTTGGAAAAGTCATGACGCATTTTACAATGAAAAACATCGAAAAAATATGTCATGACTTTTCTGACAACCCAATAAATTAACAGCAATGCCTTTCATCGGCACGGAGCTTTTATAAAGTAGTTCCAGCTGCATTATCTCATAACAGTTCTTTTAGGTAAACACAGAGGCAACAGGCTCAGAGGAAGGATTTTATGCTGGGAGGACACATTTAGGAAGGGGTAGAGCTGAGAGGCAGCCTCAGAGCCCCTGGGAAACATGAGTAATGCTACTGTTTCTCTCAATTGGGACACAACAAAAGAGAATGCATGTCAGTATGAGAAGAGGGGAGCTATCAAAGTATCATAATTTTAGGTTCTCCCATCAATGTTGTCCTCCATATAAATATTCCTCTCTCTCAAAATGTTTGAAATTCCATTAACAAAAAGGAATTTTCTAACTGATGTATTGGGTTGTTGGAAAAGTCATGACATATTTTTTCTGTTTTTCATTGCAAAAATGTGTCATGACTTTTCCGACAGCCCAATAGACAGAATGACAACATTCATTATGCTTTAATGGCAGATATTGGGTGTTTTTCTGAAAACTTGAGATTAAACCTTGATAAAGTAGACATTTTTTATTACTGGAAGAAGTGATGAGATTGGATTGGGGTTAGGGAAAAACATGGAAGCGGGTGAAGCAGAGTGGAAAAAGAAAGGGATTGGAGGAGGATGAAGGGGAAAAGATAAACAACAAAACCGAAAGTCTAAATGATTTTCAGTGGTAGCTCTGAATCCAACTGTCCATTTTATGCACACAATATGTGTCATGGGTTTTCACTACTTGAATTACTTCATTATTTCCCATTACTTGATAGAATCAATTCCACATCGTTATCCAGGCATATAAGGTCATTCCAACTTAGACCTTTCTTCTGGGTCTCTGATGGTATCACCGTCTTTATCATTTCCATTCCTCATCCCACCTTGCTCCTTCCTACACATACCTCTGTGCGTTCCAGCTGCAATGCCTTCCTCTCTCTCCATTCATCTACCTAGCGAACTCCAATCACACATGATCTCTTCTGGAAAATTTTAATGGAAATACATCCTTCCTTGAGCACTTATGAAATTGCTCCTGCCCCTGATGTGAGCTCCGTAACAGGCAGCTTGCATTGTCTGGGCTTCTCCAGTGCACAGCACGCACACTTAATAAATGAAGCGATCTAGGACATAAATGAGCCGAAGTGCTCTGTCTAGATCTTTGAAGATAAGTATGGAGAGAATGAAGAAACAGATTTAGATTGTAAACCCTCTGAGGGCAGGAACTATATCCTATTTTTCATTGCATACACATGATTGCTATCCGGAAATAACAGACAAAGCGTAGTGTAGTGCAAGCCACACACTCTGGAGCCAGACTGCTGGGTTCGAATCCCCTGTCTCCATGAGCACTATTTGTGTGACCCAGAAAAATACCTTGACTTAGTGTTTGCAGAGTGCTTAAAACTGTGTCTGGCATACAGGAAGTATTATATATATGTTTTTAAAGTAATAATAATAATAGATTGTAAAGAGCAGAGTCAGGAAAGCTTGTTTCTGATTCTGAGCTCTGCCTGGCACGTGTTAACATAGGTGCTTAATACATGTGCGATGGGTATAACAATGGAAAGGAACAGAATGTCCACTAATCTCACTCTCTGTGCATGGTACTTTGGCATAAAACATGATTGATTAGGTATTTTCTAATGAAAGGATATTGCATTTTATTGGTAATGAAACTAATTATACTCAAGAATTTAATGGCACATTGGGACATGATTCCCCAGCAAATGTGGTAATAGTTTGGTATGATAAACCTTTAAGGAGTATTTGACCCCAAAAACAGGTTGTCTTTGGACACAGTAGTTATTGGGAACCAGTAGCCCATCGGAGGCCAAAATAAACAAACATTCATCTAGGTGGAAGGAAAGACAGATGCTTCAAATATATCGATGTCACTCAGGCGAAATGCACAGTGCCCAGTTCCTTCTCACATTTGTTCTTACGTAATCACAGGATGCGCCTCTCCGTTACAGCTGGCTCAAGTGCAGGAGTGATCTCATAGGACGAGACAAGTTTCCAACTTTAAGTTATTATTATTTAGGAAGATACCATCCGTCCTTATTCTCCCACCAGGATCAGCTTAAGCAAGAGAGATGTAGCTCTTACCAGTATATCTTACACAGAGCATATTCTAAATAATTACTGGCCATATTTTGTAATAACCTGGATACCACAGACTGAACTTTTAACTCCTATTTCAGGCTACAGGGACTAAATAGGAAATGAGCTCGTTAGTCAAATTATGTTGTATTATCTTGCCGTATAAACAGCCCCGTCCTTGTAATATTTATAACACACTGGATCAGCAGAATGGCCCAATACCAAGAGCGAAAACCGTTTTAGCTGGTCCCACAACAGGTGCACACACTGCATAAGTGAAATAAAAACTCTGTGAACAGCTCTGTCAACCGCACCACCAAATGCAGGATTATCAAATGCCAAGAGCAGCACTTTTGGAAATAAAATCTCCTGATTA